CAGCATTCATAGTTACAGTGGGGCTGGATACTTCAACAGCCCCCGGCCTGCCGGAACAGCCAGGACTTAGTGGCTTTATGTAAGGCCGGGAGGGTAGTAAGGGTCCGGATATCCACGGGGAGCTTGGTCCAGAGGGTGATTGTTAAATGAGTGGTGCCCGATTTTATGACCTTTCCTGTCATGATTATTAAGCACATCACATGGTTGTTAAGCAAATCCATCTTAGCCCATTGACTTTGCTTATCAGAAGCTATCTGGTAAGGTTGCAATGGCAGCCCCATGACCTTGGCATGGTAAATATATGCCAGTTGCCAAGTACCCAAATTTTGATCATGTGACCTTGGGGATGTTGCAATGGTCGTTAAGGGTGAAAAACTGGTCCTAAGTCACTTTTTTCAGTGCTGTTAGAACTTTGAGCAGCCACTAAAGAAATGGTTGTAAGCCGAGGATTACCTGTATTTCCATGATTGGACATAAAAGCCATTTCACAAAAGACAGAACAAGAGGCAGTATTCAGCCACAGTTGCTTATCAACTCCCTTATCCCCTGCACTCCCATCCCCCATTCACTTAAGTGAACCTGTTTCTATTTGCTTACTCTGCCTTATCTTCCCTCAGGCTGGAAAGTTTAATATCATACCAACACTAATCAACTGTGTGGCTGCTTTCACGTCTGTCGGGGTGGTAAGTGTTTTGGTCTAACTCAGCTTTTTCTCTCTATTGTTTATTCCATAAGTTCGGATCAGAAAATCCCACTGTTAAACTGAGTCTGATTTTCAAAACTAAGCAGGCATCTCCAAGAAAGTTTCCTTAAACCTTGAGAAAACACAACTTTTTTTTGGGGGGGGGGGATGTTTGGGCATTTGCTACTTGGAATGACTTTACATATAAAGAATGTACTCAATGCAACTGAGTCATTTGAAAGGAAAAGTAGACATGGCACTTTTCTACAGAAAATTCAGGCATCCAAATGTAAGCCTTGTCTCTACAGCCTTCCATCCTTCTGAGGTGGGTAAAATGAGGGCCCAGATTGTTGGGGGCAATATGTTGACTCTTTAAACCACTTAGAGAGGGCTGGAAAGCACTGTGAAGATTGAGTGTCTATGAATCCTCTTAGGGGGAGCCTGGAACAGCCACAGAGTACATCCCTGAGTGGCGGATTGGGGAGCCCTACCCAGTATGGCTTTTATGCTGTAATGGTGGGTTGGAGGGAATCAAATACCTCCCGTGGACCAACAAACCTGGTGAGTGGCAGCTGGCTCATCAGTATCAACTAAAAGAGGAGACCACTAGAAGTGGTGTCAGCCACTTGAACAGCTTGTTCACTGTGCTTTCCAGCCCTCTCTAAGTGGTTTAAAGCGCTATTGTTATTTCTGAATTCTTAAGTCATTAGAACTAAAAATAATCAGAACTAACTTTCTGATTATGGGTAGTCCTCCACTTACAATACTTTGCTTAGTGACTGTTTGAAGTTACAAAGGAACTGAAAAAAGTGATCTGTGACCAATTTTTACACTTAACATCATTGCAGCATCCCCATGGTCACGTAATTTACATTTGGATGCTTGACAACTGACTCACATTTATGAGAGCTGCGGTGTCCGGGGGGGGGGGGGGGTAGTCATGTGATCACGATTTGCAATCTTTTGACAAGCAAAGTCAATGGGAAAACCAGATTCACTTAATTTAACAACTACAGTGAATCACTTAACAAACATGTAAAGCCCTTCATGGCTTAGGACCAGGTTATCTAAGGGACTGTCTCTTGCCAGTCACATCTACCCGACCCACTAAAGTGTGGAGGCAAGGAATGCGTCATCACCTAGGGAGATACACCCTGGTTGGACCCAGAAGAGCCTTTTCTGTGGTGGCTCCCTCTCTCTCTGGAACATTATTCCCCCAGAAATTAGAATGCCCCCCCCTCTAGTACTCTTCTGGAAGGTGCTGAAGACCTGGTTCTGCCAGCAGGCCTGGGGAACCCAGAGCTGGAGGGAGCCCATTAAATGGCTTGTGTGATGGGTTGTCACCAGAATGGGATGGGAGTGGGGGCTATTATATTACTTTATTATTTTCTTTTATTGGTTTTTTTATATGATGTTTTTAAATCCCTGTACATCACCTTGAGTTACTATGTGCAAATAGGCGGCAATATAAATTTTATAATAAATAAATAAACAAAATAAAAATGTGGCCAGAAAAGTTGTAAAATGAGGCAAAACTCACTTAGCGACATAAATTTTGGGCTTAATTGTGGTTGCAAGTTGAGGACTACCTATACTTGCATCCATTGATACCTTGAAGTTAAACATGTGACATAACATATTAGATGTTCAGAAATACTGTTCCAGTGAGATGGGCAGCATTGAAGTTTAATAAATACATAGATAAATAAAAATTAATAGCAAATTATGCAACCAACTTTTAAAAATAGTTTACTACAGCTCTGGCATCTTTCTGGCATGCATATATATCTTTTATCCTGATTGCACCATAAATTTTGTGTAGGGCATTAAAGAACATGCTTTGGCAGAACCCTCAACATAATTGGATTTCTTCCTAGGCAGAAAGTATTCTGACTTTTAGAAAATTTAACATTTTACAAAGTGTAAAAAATGTATAATATCAGCACGTACATCAGAGATACCTTCCACTATAGCAGTTAGGCTAACCATATTACCTGTTTCCTTCTCATCCCAGGGGACAGTCCTATGTGACATCATTCTCCTCAATTTCCTGAAAGGTGCCGATCAGTATAAGGCCAAGAAATTTGAAGAGGTAAATCTATGCAAAATATACCATTAGGCTTGCTGGGGTCTCTCTGCAAACAAGAGGCAGCATGTGGCACAACAACATCTCCAGTCCAGACTTGTGTATGTGGGGAACCTTTAAACTGAAATGTGCACTTGAGGCTATTATTATAATTCATTCTGCTATTATAGAAGAAAGCAATTTGGCATATTTCAGACACTTGGAACTGTAATCCTCTTGATGAGCAGCCATTATCCAAGCTCCCACTTGGATTTTTGGCAGTCTCATAATAAAGTTTCAAGGATATCCAATAAAGAAGCCCAGCCAAGCAACTGAAGACCAAATATTCTGCCTTTATTTATTTAATCAAAAAAAATCTTCTATTCCCATCTTCCTTTATGCAAGACAGTCCCTCCTCTAGAATTATTCTCCACGAAGGGATTTTTTTTTCTTTTCCAATTAATTAATTCCTCATCATTTCCTACTTTGGCTATTTCCCCTCTCTTCCTGCCAGAGGCAGCTCTGATTAGGCATTTATGCATTGTATGTATGTCTGCTTCTTATCATAATGGCTCTCAAAGCATAAGAATGAGAATAGCAACAAAAATGCTGTTAGAAATAACAATTAAAACATTTGAACGATGTGCCAGGGATACTGTAAATGTGGACAAGGCGAAAACTACTAGACACGCTCTTTCATTTAACAGACATTTAGCTCTAATTAAAATTAAATTACAAAGGATCATTATACTTATAGTTGTTCCCCCTGTGCGAAATGATCTCTTCTCTAGTCACGGCAGAATTTTCAGTTTGGCAGCACCTTCTGAGGGATCAAAGTTGGAGTTTTGCACCAGCTTCTGAGAGTCTCTCGTTTGTATTCCACTGTGTTCCACAAAGCAACCTAATTTAAGTAGAACACCTGCAGTTCTATCCTTAATTCCAGTTTCTATAATAGTGAGAAAAAACAGATCTGGATGCTCTAAAAAAAGCCTGTTGCCATTAGTTGTCAAATGTAGAAAACCAAGAGATGATGAGCTAGTTTATGCTTGGAAGCCTAGTACCATATGCCATTTTTCTTAATCTACAGTAAGGATCCTCCATGTTTGCGATCTAGTGAGGTCCTGTTCTGGGCAGGGATGCTGCAAAGCTTGAGCCATTCACGTATCATACCTCCTGGAATATACCGTCCCTTAGAAAGGACCAATTTAACAGAATGCTACTGCTAGCTTCTCCCTGTTGTCTTTGTTTGACTTTGCCCTTGCTTAACTTTACAAAAATATTACTGAAGACTGGTACTTTTTCATAACAGTTCCTAAGCTTTGAAATTAAACATTTAATAAAATAAAAAAGTCACATGAGGGAGGAAATGGGCATGGGAACTTTCAAATTCAGGCAAGCAAAAATGCCTTCAAAATATATCTTATCACAAAATTTCCCATCAGACACCCTTTCAGAAATATTTACCGAATCTTTATCCTGAATTATTCAATAGCTGAATTCTTATGGAATTAGAAATCAGAGAGGAACAGATTCAAGGGGAAAATTACAGTTTTATACTCATTTATCAGAGAGTAAGTGCTACTTAAGTAAGCAAATCTCACATCTGATTAGACATGCAGGATTACACTGAATATATTAACAGAACATGTTATTTTTTAGAGGAATCGCGTAGAGGGAATCTTTCTTTTATTGATTGGTTCAGTATAATAAAACTACTTTAAAAAACAGAAAGAAATATCTTTAAATTAGGATTTAGTTAGGATAAGAAAAAATAAGATACATAAAGCATTCCATATACTTCCTCCAAAGAATTTCAGATGACACAAGAAGACAGCTTAGTTTACCATAATCTATTTAAAGCAGTGCTTCCCCTTTCCAAGAATTTCCAAAACTGCTAAATCATTGAATTTGTTGAGAATTATGTAAAATTATTCTGCTTCATAAGAGGAAGCAAAGAATCTGCATAAGAATTTAAATAAAAAGTAGGTAAAAAAGTAAAAAAAAATAAGCCTCCCTTTCCTTAGTAAAAGATTTGTGTGACCTTGTCTTCTTAAATCTATTTTCCATTTTATTAAATTTCAAACAAAATGTATGAAATACAAAATAAAAAGGGGAACTTTCCATAGTAGTTAGAGTAGTTCTCCATAACCTGGTACCTCCTTGATCTGTCTTTCAAAATTCCGTGCAACAGAGTTGAAAAAAAAATCAAAGTAGGAAGTGGGATAAACAAGTTAAAATCCTTGTTTTGCCCTATGGAGACAAGTGTCCCTGATCCCAAACCAACTCAAAAGGTACTTGAAAAAGGAGTGGGGGAAGAATTGTGGAAAAAGCACATGTACTATCCTGAACATTTTGGAGGAAGGATGAGCTATTAAGGTCAAATAAGTCCAAATGTCAGAAATTTATGGGGTTCAGGTAAAATTCAGGTAAAATAAGCAAGGTACAAACGCTCAGATTTGATCAGCTTTAACAGGTCTCAATGTCCTTCTTACTAGGTATCAGAGATGGTTCTGCGTCCCAACATTCCTAGAAGCTCTACGTATCGAAGTGACCATATGTTGGGAGGCCGTTGTGAGGAGAAGCAATCAACTGATTCAGGGGCCTACTCAATTGGGCTCTAATACATAGGAACTTTGAAGCAGACACAAATAAATTCTCTGTGCTGGTCACCTGCATGGACATTGCCTTGCGATATAGCCTTCACTTTGAGTCTTCTTTTCAAAACCTATGGTTCAGGATATGGCTTACGGTACTTTTTTCTTTCTTTTTACTCTTTTATCAAGTGCTTGTTATTCTTCCCACTTTGTCTTTTTCCTCATCTTAACCAAATACCTGTCATGTCTTATAAAACCAGAAGAGCCCATTGCTTCTTCAGACTTCTGGAAAGCCGTGGGGAATACCAAAAGCTGTTACTAACGGATTTACTAAAATGAGACTATTGTAAAATATGAACAAAATATTAATACACTCTATGTATTAATTGAAGAAATCATAATCCAGGAAAGTTCTAGGCAGCAGCTAATAAACCAAAACAAATTGTATGTAAAGTGTGTAACTTGCACTCCTAAGAAGAATCAATGAGGCAGCTGGGATGAACTGCTGCCATTTGTAATCAGACATACAAATACACACACACACACACACACACACACACACACACACACACACGGGGGGGGGGGGTCATTTTCAGTTATATCAGATGACACACTGCCCTGTAGAGAAAGAAAACAAGCCATATGGGGAAGAAGAGCTTTGAATTTTCCATTGCGTTGCAAACTGGCAGGCTCTAGGGAAAAATGGCTAATATATCTTGTAAATATTCAGACATTTGCCTTTGTTCCCAGGCCCTGTTGTTACAGATTCCCTAATTCCACACAGGCTTCTGTTTGATTTACAAAGATAAAAGCAGAAGAAAGCAGAGTCCTGCATCTAAGTCTCAGATATCCAAAAGAAATACAGAAAACAGCTTTCTAACTTGTTCAATCATACTGCACACTGACAAGCAGTAAGTTTCCAATGTTTTAAAATATGGGTCTTTCCCGGGGGGGGGGGACCTACTATTGAACTTGACACTTTTTTGCTTGCAAACATGGAGAAACTGGATCTTCTCCGCAATACCAGTATAGATTCCTGCAACTCTCAGTACTGCTTCTGGTCCAGCTTTTCTAGCTTTCTTTTGTTCTTTGGTCTCCCAAATGGCCTCAGGACTCTCACTGTACAGAATAGGTATGGATTCTTCCATTGACTATGTCCACTGTGAGTTTTGAAGAGTCCTTTCAGCAGACTGATCCATGACACCAAATGTTCTCTTCGAGAGAAGCAGAAATACAGAGCAGTAGAAGTACACAGTGGATTCAATTATTTCCAGAATTAGATGAGGATGATTCAGATAGATTCAGAAGATGTTTAAAATTAAGCAGGTGTCCTCTTAAAAAAACAGTATTCTCACAAAGCTTTATTACCCTGTTTCCCCAAAAATAAGACCTCCCCGGATAAGAAGCTCAATCGGGCTTTTGAGTGCAAGGGCTAAAATAAGCCCTGCAACACAGCAGCAGCAAGCCATGAGGTGACCACACTAACTGCCTCCTGCACCTCAAAAATAATAAGACCTCCCCCAAAATAAGACCAAGTGCTTATTTAGGGGGTCAAAAGAAAATAAGAGCCTGTCTTATTTTTGGGGAAACACAGTAGTGATTTGAAATTAAAAAAGATATATTCATGTGTCATCTGCAAAAATCAATCCAAATTCCAGAATGTGGAAGGGAGGAGTAGAAAAAAAGGATGTAATGTTTACAGCTGATGGAAAGAGCTAGCTTCTAATCAAAGTAAATAGTTTACTAGGGTTTTGCAGTCATGATGTTTTGTGGGAGAAATGTCAAAACAATGTATCTTGAGGCTATTCCAGACTCTGTGCTGTTCACTAGCCGCTTTCAAGAACAGAAAAAGGTAAACTAAAGCTTTTTAGTTTGGATTTTGTGGAATTTGGCCAGAAAAAGTTGGATGCTATTGCCTGTTTCTACCTTTTTTTCTTTCTATTGCTTCAAAGCATCATTTGTTAATTCCATTATAAGTCAATGGGTTATGTACAGAGCTAATCCACATGATCAGTTTGCCCCAGCATCTAATGATAACTCCAATATTCTCCTGGAGTCAGGAACACAGGATGCTTTCTTCTTTTTTATTTATCAAGTTTATTGGCTGCCCATCTCGCAGTTCAGATGATTCTAAGAACCCCAACTAAGCAGGGAGACATCTTTTTCTGCTGCATCAAATGTAACTTTTAAAAAAAAATTGGGGTAGTTCAAGGAGTGCTCTCTGGTTCACCTACTGTGTTTTATTTAATGGTATGAAAGATTTGCATTCTAATTGATTCCTGTGGACTGCGGCAAGAATCTTTCTATCTACACCCAGGTCATCAGTTGGTGTCCTGAAAGCCAGTTTGTCCTGCCTTTAGAAGGGTTATGGTCTGCTGAACCTTGTGTGTGTGTTTGTGTGTGTGTGTTGTGCGTGTGTGTGTGTATTTCAAGTAGATTGGCAAAAAGATGAACTATTTACAAAAATCAGGTTAAACGGATTTTTAACAAAGTTCAGATGAAAGTTCTGCCAACGGAAACCACATGTGTGCAAAAGCCCGTCATAGAAGTTTCTCAGTTTAGCTGGGAAGGGTAAAGAATCAACCAGTTGTGGGGCATAGTAAGCATGGTCTAGAGAAGCCACTAAATTATTGCTATAGTCAAACAAATGTAATAATTTGTTTGACAATCTGGAAAAGGAGTGCTTAGCTGGGATATTATTCAGAGGTTTTGCAGATTCTGTCGTTAACTTCTAAAAGAACATGTACTTTTCTATATTGGTGGTGTACACATCTAGACTGTATTAGAATACATGAATCTGCTTTCGGTTTGCACATTAAAATTATATTAGGCAGAAAACATATTAATTCAGAGAACTAATTAATACCATATTAAGTAGCATAGATATAAACAGGCATGCCCACTGTGTTAGCCAAACTGACTTTAAATTAAAACCAAAATACCCAAACTGACAAAATCATATTTCAAAATAGTCCCAAATTAGTAATTCTACAGAAACAATTAGGTATATTTTGAACTGCTTGTATGGCTGAAGCTGTGACTTCATTAGTTTCTAGTTTGAAAAGTAGTTCTTGTAATAACAGTTTACAGTACTGTATATATTATCAATTCCACAGAAGATAATAGTTAGACAACATAATGAGAACTTCAGTTTAAATAAATTTTGAATGTGCAATAGGGAATGGCTTTTTCTCTGAAGCAACCAGCATTTGAAAGCCTTATAAACATGATTAAGTAAAAAAAAGAAACCCTCATGCTTGGGGTCACATAGAGGTCACCTAAATAAGGGGAAGATATAAAAATGTAACATCAAAAGCAGTATGCACTCTGATCTAGAATCTTTCACTTTCTTGTATTCCTCTCTTCCCCTCCACACCAAACCTGGACTGTTTTGGACTTCAGCTCTTGATGCACAATCTGTCCAGACAAACAGATGGCCAGCTTAGATTCAAAGTAGGTTAAGAATGACAATGCATACATTTAATTTTGAAAGAGATTAAAAGCAGCTGTACAATGAAGCCAATTCAATGTCCAACGTTTAAGAAAGCGCACATAATGGGCATGCAGGAAAAACATCCAAACATCTCAATCTTATGTTTACTCAGAATAAAGTTGCACATTACGATAAAACATTTGGAAAGATACAAATCCACTGTACCTATAAGTAACCCTCAGCTAAACATTTAGAAGATCTAACTAGCTGGTTGTTATAGTGTATGATTACTATTCTATCAGATTAAGGCAACGTGTAGTTTCATTGGTCTTGGCTAAGCATATTGCATATACTCAACTGCTGTGATTTACAACTTAGTGCCAATTACAGCTTTTTCAACAACTCTTGATTAAATAAACCTTGGCACTGTGCAATGGATAAACTCTGCTGAAGAGAAGAAAGAACTTGGTTATTTAGAAGTATAAGGGGTAAATGAAGAGATGGTTCTGAAAAACATGCAAGGTTCTTCTAGATGAGGTTTTCATGATGCCATTGCTCTGCCTCATTCACAGAATGTTTCTTCAGTAATAAGAATATAACTTCCTCTAAAGCTCTATTTTCCCCCTTCTTCCAGTTCACTGGAAGTGGAAAAACTGGACTAGCTGCATTGTGCCTTTGTTTGCTTTTATAAGGATCAGTCCATCTGGAAACCGTCCACTAGGTCAGCAGGGTATTTTTCTGAGTCAGATATGTCTCAAAGAAGGTCCTAACTCATTTTCTACTTCCTTGAGTTAAGATGTGGAGAAAGAGCCAAAACAATTTTTCTCAGCTGCTATTCCTGTGAAAGAATTACAAGATACCCCAACACAATGTTTTCACCACACTCCATTGCATCCATCTTCTTGTCTGGACTAGCTTATCTCTCTCAGCCATAAATAATTGTGGAAACATTTCTAAGCCTTGACATCTTGAAATTGAGTGTTTGGTTATCTCTCACTTCCTTCCAAAATGAAGGATGCGAACAAAGCACCCCAAAAAACAATGGCCACTGTTTTACTAGGTATTGGTTTCCAGCTTTAAAAAAAACCAAAAGGATAGAAGTTTGGATTCTATCTTAGTGTACCAGAAGACAGAGTTGGTTTTACCCTCTCAAAGGAATGAAAATGTAGAAGACAAGTATCATAACAGAGCCTTGGTATACTGCACTCCATTGGATTAGCACTTGGATCCCAATGGAACGTAACACTCACTTGCTTTTGCTTCTTGACTGCCTCAATTTGTAAATTGCTTTCAGGGATGTTTTAAGATGTGAAGACATGGGTGGGGATGGCAAGGAGTCAGCCTCTCCAATCTTTATCTGAAGGGTGGAAGATACACCTTTCCATAACTATTCTTTCCAATGCAGAAGCCACAAAATAAAATAACTGAGTTTTCAGTAGCCGACAGATGGTATATTGTGCTATGGGACAACTCCCAATCTGCAGGAGATTTCCAGCACGTGGTAAGACTCATAGTCCAGGCCAGAGGTCATCAAACTTGGCAACTTGAAGACTTGTGGACTTCAACTCATAGCTGGCTGGATAATTCTGTGAGTTGAAGTCCACAAGTCTTAAAGTTTGGGGACCCCTGGTCTAGGCTAACTTATTTGTGGAGGGGGGCAGCTTTGTGATCCAATAACTGACTACCCCATGTTCTTTTCCAGGAGCTTGACTGTGAAGTATAAAGCCCCATTGAGAATTCAATGTCTAGAGAGATGAAAAAAAAAGTGAAGGTTGTGGATCCCTAAGCCTGAGAAATGAGAATTTTAATCTTTTGCTATTTTATCATAGTATATATAGAGCATTCATGGACTCTGTCTTTTCTCTAATTTTTGATATTGTTTTAACATTGGATCCTTGAGGTCCAATTATTTAAAAAAAACACCTCGTCTGTTTCCTGCCCTTATAGCTTTCATTGACTGGCACGTGATTTTATGATAGATCATTTTTATTAATAGCTGAATTTTTGCTCCTGGGCTTTAAAAAAATTTTTTTTGTTCATTCTTCAAAGTTAACATGTAGTTCAATTTGTAGAAACAAGCATTAAATATAATATTAAAATAATTAAAAACTAGAGAATAGAAGATTTCTCAACATATTCAAAAGTTTAAAGGGAGGTTAAAATACTGTCACATTAAAAAATACAGCTTCTGGTTCATTAAACATTTTTAGCTTGGAAAAAAAATAAATTGGTTTCTATAGTAAAATTGTATACAATGAACAAAAATAGATCTCTGAAAAAGAAGATACAAAATACAAAACAGTGAAAAATATTATAAATTCCCTCCACTCCAAATTATGAATCTGGTATTAATTTCTATAAAATGCTACCGGGGGGGGGGATGGGGGACTGTGTATTTAAACCCTGTTTTGAAACATGGAATTAGTAACCTAGCCCAAATTTAGACACAGTTAAACCCTTCTAAATTTGAGGGATTTAAGAGCACCTGATCATATGGGCCTATTTTGCTGCTTCAAGATTTAGAGACAGTGTTTAATCCCACACAGGCCTTCGTAAGGGTCCCTTTTGTTAGGTGAGGTTTCCAAAGTCTAAACTGGGATGAACTCAGAGGGAAGTCTCTAGGCCTGGCTTTCTTGCAGCCTGCTCCTTCTGTCGTCGCTTACATTCCCGCCACACCGTGAAAGGATTGACAAAAGCCAGAAGCATTAACACTATGAAGGCAATGTTAACCTAGAAGGAGAGAGAGAAAAAGAATGAACACATCCAATCCTCAACCAAAATAACTCCAAGGGAATTTCGGTCACTTCCCCCAAACTGGTAAATGCTGCCTTTCAGGCAACATATCCTGGATCCTAACACACCACTGCCAGATGTATGGCTGACATCCCACAGGAAAAGGGCCTGAGAGGGATACAGAATACTTACATAAAAGGAATCCCCTTTTAGTGGACCCTTGATTAGTATAAAACAGGGATACTGTAGGAGGGACACCACAGCTGACAGTCCCATCACCAGACCATAGAGTTTCCCAAAGTGTTCAGGGGGAAAACTGTAAAATAAAATGGGAGCAGGAAGGGAATCATCTCAGCATTTTAAAGTGCTATAGAATAGAATAGAATAACAGAGTTGGAAGGGACATTGGAGGTCTTCTAGTCCAACCCCCTGCTTAGGTAGGAAACCCTACAGCACTTCAGACAAATGACTATCTAACATCTTCTTTAAAATGTCCAGTGTTGGCGCATTCACAACTTCTGGAGGCAAGNCAAGACACTTGCACCCCTAAACCTTTAGGAAAAAACCCCCAGGGGTGTTCAAATTTGACAGCTTTAAGACTGTAAGGTTTAGATAGGACTTTTAGAGGCAGGCGGAGTGATTGGTGAGCCAGCCAATCAGTGAGCAGTGGGCGGGGCAAGCATAGTACAGACAGGCAGGGGGAGGGAGCTGAAACCAGTTCTAAATGGCATGGTAGATTTGTAGAAGAGATTAGAACTGGCAGGAACCCACCCCTGGTTGGTAGATAGGTAGGCAGTTGTGGCAATTATGGACATCATTAGAAGACAGAAGGTTAACAGAAGGTTCTGGTCATCCAGCTGTATCAGTAAAATGAAATTTTGGATTGAGGATATTGGAAATACTCAGGGAGAATGAAAGAAAGGAGGCTAGCTGAGGAAGAGATTATAAGCTTAAAATTAAGATGGGAGAAGTGAGCAAAAAGGTACATTTTTGGACTAAATTCTATTTTCAGCTAATTAATAATGTATCATATGATCAGCACAAGCTATCATGAAGTTTCACATGAAGTAGGCTTTGAAACTATTCTCAAAACAACATCCAGTCTACACATCTGAAAGCAAAGCAAAGCAAAGCGGTTGCCTCCTTCACTGCTGAGGCTGCCTCTGGCAGTTTCAACAGAGCCTCTTCTGATGCTTCCAGTCAGCTCCTGGATATGCCATCAGCAGCCTCTCTGCATGCCCAGTGCAAGAAGTCTCATCTGGCTTGTGGAACTTTAGGATGGGGGTTCTGAGATAATGCAAAGCACAAAGCCCAGCTGGAGATGCTCTGCACCTGTAACATGTCAGTTGACGCATGCTCAGCACGAAGGCAGACCTCTTCTCCTGAAAGTCCAAGCAACAGGAAAAAGAGCCAACCAGTTTACTAATCTTCTCTAACTCTGGTAGACCTTTGTCCAAAAACACCCCAGCCAATACATGGATGGGCTGGAGGATAAATATAGAGTGGAGCTCCTGACCGAATTTCAGTTGCTTGTCAGCTGGGGCTTTTTTTCCTGAACAGAGATATATCAGCCTTGTAAATTAAAAGATTGACAATTGGTGGGAAAAGGAAACTGGTCAAACTCATAATAAGTTCACTCCGGGTACCAAATATCACAATCAATCAGTGATGCAAAGGTGACTCCTATCGCAAGTGATTACAGCCCCTATGAATATCCCATAAAGTATGCAAAATAATACTATCTCACAGCAATTACATGGGCTTTGCCACAATAGGATGACAGGCAGAGACAAGAAAGTGACAATAGCTCTTGTATAACCCACTCATACCACTTGAACTTCTTCACATATCTAGCAATACACCAGTGCCTCACCCATGTAGGAACTGGCAGATTGGAGTTCTAAACCAAAAATGTTTTCAGGTATATAAGGAGTCCACATAAGCCTAAGATGCACCTTGCAGGGATTTATGTAGGAAAGTTCCTTCTAGTGGGAGCAGACAGCCCAAGACTAGGCATCCATGAAAGGCAGGTACCAGTGATTGGAGGAGAGCGTGGCTGGCTTGCAACAGCACACACTAGTCAATTGATGTGCTGGAAATACATACCAGGAAATGCATTTCTGCTAGGAGAATTTGGAAAAGACCACTTTTGCCAACAAGCAAAAAAAAAAAAAAAAGACAAACAGAGGCTGTCTTTATGGTGGACAGAGACTAGGCTGAGGACAGCATGATGCATTCATGTTCTCAACAAGTGGTNAAAAAAAAAAAAAAAAAAACAGTGGATATACTCTGGATTATGTCCAGTCTGATTTTTATATCACAAACTCAGAATGTCTTCTCACAGGAGACTAGTTGCTACTGTTTCTCTGACTGCACTTCCAGGATTAAATGATTAGTTATAAATCACACATATGTGGGCTTAAGTTTTATTAATGCGGGGGGGGGGAATGGTTTGGTTAAATAGAGATGAGACAATTATTCTTGTTGACTTCAAACCAGAACCACCAAAAAAAGTATGTGAAATAGTTTCTAGGGTATAGAGCAGTGGCCTCCAACCTTGGCAACTTTAAGACCTGTGGACTTCAACTCCCAGAGTTCCTCAGCCAGCAAAGCTGGCACTCTGGAACTCTGGGAGTTGACATCCAGAAGTCTTAAAGTTGCCAGCAACTTTGTCAGCCAGCAAAGCTGGCACAAAGGAACTCTGGGAGTTGAAGTCCACAAGTCTTAAAGTTGCCAAGGTTGGAGACCACTAGTATAGAGGACATCAAAAGTCAATCAATCAATCAGAATAGAGCTCGAGAGCACCTTGGAAATCTTCAAACCCCTGCTCAAACAGGAGACCTTATGGCATTTCAGACCATCTCTTCTTAAAAGTCTCCAGTGATGAATCACCTACAATGTCTGAAGGCAAATTGTTCCATCAGCTAATTGTTTTCACTGTTAGGAAGTTTCTCCTTAATTCCAGGTTGAACTAACTATGCCTTTGGTAACAGTTCCTACAGTGTATGAAGTCACAAAGCGCCCTCTCACTTTTCTATCAGCCTCTGATCAATTGGCTGACATGCTGTTTCTTACTAGCAATTTGCAGCAGGGTCACTGGGAGGAAAAAGGAAACAGTATTTCCTAGTAACATGACATTAAATGTGATTAATATCTTGCTGGAACTTCAAGGAGTAGATCCCACATCCTGGGGAAACCATAAAAAGTGAAAAAGTATGACATTTGAGCTCATTCTTCCTATCTGCTCTCCCATAAAAAATAGTTGACTGCAATAGCCTAGAAGCACATGGTGACTTGGGAGCTGATCATGTTCCACAATGCCTAACAGCTAAGAAAATGGGTAATTCAAACCTGACTTCGTGCATGGAACTCTAAGAGAGTGAATGAGGCAAAAGAAGGAGAATAAAAGAAACTGGCTACAAACAGAGGGCCCTCTCTCAATCCTGGATGAATTGTGTAAATCCAGTGAAGGCTGCCCCTGAAATGTACATGGAGGCAGACTCCTATTTTACCATTGCTGTCAGAGTTTTGGCAATGTGACTAGTAGAATGAGATAAACTCAGGAGCCATAACACAGCACACAGGGCCTTAAGACAATTAACAGGGGTGTATCTACAAATATATACAGGCAAACACATGCAAAAATCCCTTTTCAGAGAACCTAAAAACTACACAGAAGAATAGCCCAGGCATTGCAAATAAAGTAATCCTAGCTAATATGAGATCCACAGAGGGGGAATCCAAGGTCTCTTCCAATTCTGTCATTGTATTATTCTAAACCAGCCTCAGCCTTTACCTTTGTCCTTGATGGTAGCTTGTTCTCCTTTGAGTGCTGACTCATCATGCAGATTATTTGAGTCTTGGGCTTCATCTGCAACTGTGATCTTGGGGGAGCCTTGTTCCTCATAAGTGTGGTATGAATGGGAAATCCCAGGACACTTCAATCTGCAGACACAGGAAATATGACACACATCTTGTTCTCCCGTTGGCCTTGTGAACTAATTTCTACATACATCTTGCATACAGAACATAACCAATGTTACATATGTACAGAAAGAAGGAAAATGATTTACGAGAAAGCTTTTATGAATAGAATAGAATAGAATAACAGAGTTGGATGGGACCTTGAAGGTCTTCTAGTCTAACCCTCTGCTTAGACAGGAAACCCTACACCACTTCAGACAAATGGTTATCCAACATCTTCTTAAATGCTTCCAGTGTTGGAGCATTCACAACTTGAATACTCCAACACTTAATTCTTGAAGCCATTGAACCATAGCATGAAAATGCAAAACTGAAATGAAATTAGTCAGAGTCAATAAACATTTATACACATTAAATGGGTAATCAAACATACAAAGCAAAAGGCAGGGGAAAGCCTCAGGGGCACTGAAGTTCGTATTTTTCTGGTAACCACTTTCAGTGTCACTTTTGACTTAATCATTGTTCTTTCTAGATCTTACTCCTTACCGCTTTCCTTTACTCTTTCTTTGCATTAATATCTCTGAAATGCAAAAAAGAATTACTAGTCTGCTTGTTGATACTGACATCTACCTTTATTTGGAAGTGAATCCATTAAACTCACTGCCCCGGTTCAGACATAATGCAACAGCATAATGTGACTTATTTAGCTTTGGCACAGAATGATGAGTTAACTCACTTATTGCGGCTCAGCATAATGCATGAACTACACCAGCAGAGCCAGTCTATATCTGGCATGCAGATGGATCTGCAACTCCTTTTTCAAGAAGCAAAGCTACTGTAGCAATCAGGAATAGAAACAAGGTGATAAGACCAAGGATCCCTTTGCAAATATTATTTGAAGTTAGGGGAGGAAAGGCTCACTTGGAAGCATAGAAGGGACAAGTAAGTGGAGAATTCAGCTCTTCATCCCTTGTTTCCCTCCTGATTTTCACTCAGAAAAAGTGGCTTCATCAATCCAGACTGAACTTAGAGAACTATGAGATGTACATCATGAAATAAGAAATTGTGTTCATATCTGCAGGTAAACATATAGAGGTCTGGCCTGCTAATGACACCTAATCTGCAGGCATACTTAAGTCATTTAAATGACATGAGTCATCCCAGTGCAGGCCACTTGCTCTATTGTTAAGTTCAGATTTTTCTGTAATTTTTGTAGCACCTGGGCCAGAAACTCAGGAACAAAAAAGCTTAGGATGAATAGGCAGACATAAGGAAATCTATGAATCTAAAATTAATAACAGAACAATGCATGGATGCATCTTTTACCTTAAATAGCAGCTGGATGTTAAGAATAGACCTACTGGTGCAGCTTTTCTAGACATCAAATTACTTTTGCACACTAAACTGTTGTTAAAGGTACAGTGACAGTCAGATGAGAAGCACATCCCTAGACAAATCCAAGGACAAGCTTTCACAGTGCGTGCCTAAAATAGCACTCAGAAAGAAGGATTGTCTTTATAGGATTAACTGAGAGGATCTAAAGATTCCTAAAATATGTTCTCTGGTCACTAAGATTTCAGGCATCATGATAAACAGCTAGAAAAAAGGAAGAAGCAACTGGAGAAAAATGATAGGAATGTAAGAGGGGACTGGGGTTTTGGGAAAGTCACACAGAGGAATCAGCTGCCAATCGGACAGAAGTGCTGCTTACCCATATGTATAGCCTGGGGGCAGTGGATAAGGAATATGGTATCTGGGCATCAGGAAAAAGGTGCGAACTAAGTGCCAGGCGCTGCAGGCAGACATGAAGAAGAACATGGCTCCCAGGGAGAGGCCTTGTTCATACAGGAGCTGAGGACAAACAACGCATTCCAAGATAAGCCTGCTGTATTTTAACGCTCCTACCGTGTGCGCCAATCCTTGAATTCCTGCAGAAACGTAGCAAGGAAGATGGAAAGGCTTCAGTTCCCCCTTTCCACTTGATCCTCTATCCTGATCATTAACAGGTCCTTCTCAGCAGAGGTGGGTGACTTCTGAAATGGTTGGGCAATTTTTTGGTACCACCATTGAACATTTCTAAAGGGCCCGTTGCCACAGTGAGAGGGGCAGGGATGCCAATAGGGCAAAGCTAGGTCATTGATGTGAGTGATGTTGAGACTTCATTTGTTTTCCTGGATGGTTTGAGAAATGGAGGTGTTTTTTTTTACAAGCTTCCTAATTCAAAAGGGGAGAACATGGCTGCTGAGCCAAAGAAAAAATACAGTTTCTTTAAGGAGATAGATGTAGTGTATCCCCACATCCACATTGGCATACAATTTTGGTTTCAAATCTAAAATGTAGTATATACCTACACTAAATCCTGGGTGTACACCTTATAAATCCTGGGTTTATAAAACTAAAATTCACACAACATTATACCCAAACAAATACATAAATGGTCTGCTTTCCACAGCAGGCTAAGACAGTATCAGGGTGTCTACCATAAGTTGAAACCTTAACCTCCTCTAGATACTGGATGAACTCAGCCAATTAATAGTGTTAGCAGGCGGAGGTTAATGGGGGCTATAATCAATGCAACATGTCACATAGTACAGTTCCTTTGGGTCTCTCAGCCTTATTCATTCTGTTGGGAATTGCTCAGAAAGTCCAGTTCTTATTCTCCTCTACAAGCAAAGTTCAGCCACAAAAGAGCTTTAGAAAGCTGAGTCATGAATTACAAGAAGCAACAGGACAAAGAGTCCTCTCTCTCACTTCTAGCGCAAGTTCCTGCTGAAATCAGGCTCACTCTGCTTTCAACAGCCAGCCTCTCCTGCTCCCTCCCTACATGCAGAAGGAGGACCAGTCTTTGTATGGCAGGCAACTGCCTCCCTCTTTCCCACCCTCCGTGTCTGAAATGCAAAGCACTCTCCCATAAATAGAAGGAAGGAGAGGAGGCCACCTTACACTTTTCTTCCTGATGTCCACCTACTCAACCCAAAAGGAAAATAAACATATGCTTATTTTATTTGTAACCCACCTTTCCTTCAGGAGCTCAAGGTGGTACATATAGCATTCCTTCCTCTTATTTCCCTCTGCAACAACCCCATGAAATAGGTTGATCTGAGAGTCAGTCGTGGCCCAAAGCTACCTGCAGAGCTTCTGTGGCTGATCTACCTAAACCTGCATATCTCTCTATCCCCAAACAAATGCAAAAGGGAAAAGGATGCAGAACCTCTTTCCCTGATAAGCTTTTGCTCAAAGGTAGAGTTCCATAAGATTGATTTTCATTGGAGAAGAACCAATACCAATCCTTGAAAGAAGGATGAAACAGGCAACTGTCTCATTTTGGCTGTAACCTCTGCTCTGCCTCAGGTGGACTAACTGAATCCACAGGAGTGACTTTGGTATATCATTTTAGTATTTCAATGGCCATTAACAACATTAGTGGGTGAAAATGTCCCAGATTCATGGCTAAATGCAAATGGTAACCTTCCTCTAATGCCCACTAGCAAGGGAGCTGTCTGCATGCAACTAATGCTAGTCTTGAGTATGCATGAGCTAATCTTTGTAGAAATGTACAGTATTTCCAAATCAGCTTGCACACGTCCTTTAATGAGAAAATGAATCTGCTGGAGGCAAGAAGGAAAAGTATTACCTGTAGTCTTAGTTTTAAGCATATAAATCCAGATCAAATATTTCTGAAGGTTAAACCAATTCTATTATGTATTTGTGCTATTTATCCCCCGCCCCCGATCTTGCTTATCTCCTCTCTTGTGGTCCTCCACATCATGATCGTGCTCTGCTTATGTCTTAGCCCACCTAAGGTTGCAGCCTGGCTTGCATGGGAGCAGGCTGTTTCTTTGAATACCCTTGACCGAAGATCGGTACACTCCTTCTATCTGGGATGGTCGTCCTCTTCCACCGAGC